ATTAAAGATTGCTTTGAAAGTAAGTGGTTGTCTAAGTCACTGTTGCTGCTGAATATCCAGGCCTCTCTGGAACATGAAGAGGGGAAGATCCTGCGCCTGCAGCTTGAGCTCAACCAGGTGAAGTCTGAGATTGACAGGAAGATAGCAGAGAAAGATGAGGAGATCGACCAGCTGAAGAGAAACCACCTCCGAGTCGTGGAGTCCATGCAAAGCACCCTGGACGCTGAGATCAGGAGCAGGAATGAAGCCCTGAGGCTGAAGAAGAAGATGGAGGGAGACCTGAATGAAATGGAGATCCAGCTCAGCCATGCCAACCGCCAGGCTGCCGAGGCACAAAAGAACCTGAGAAACGCACAAGCAGTGCTGAAGGTACAGCGTAATTAAACATGTGCTGACTGGTTTCTGTCACAACTAAATTTTTTTCCTGTTGTGCAATTCTGTCAGTTCTATAGTGATGGGAAAACAGAAAATAGGAAAATAGAAAATACACACCTCACAATCTGTCTTGACTCTTTCCAGGACACCCAGATCCATTTGGATGATGCTGTCAGGGCACAAGAGGACCTGAAGGAGCAGGTGGCCATGGTGGAGCGCAGAGCAAACCTGCTGCAGGCTGAAGTGGAGGAGCTACGGGCAGCCCTGGAGCAGACGGAGCGGTCGAGGAAAGTGGCTGAGCAGGAGCTTCTGGATGCAAGTGAGAGAGTTCAGCTACTCCATAGCCAGGTTAGTATATAAATACATTTAGTATTTATACTTTTGCTCCATACCTAATAGTTACATATTCAGCCACTGAAGACTGGCTGAACTGTAATAGTATTTCATAAAATGCAGTAATTTCACAGTATGTAAGAAATAATAGGTAACAGATAATACTAAGACTGTCTTTTCAGACATAGTTTTAATATGAATTTCAGTATACTACAATGTAGATACATTTCAGAGATATATGTGATGTTCTTACTCTATGACTTACTTGATTTCATCACCTTTCACATTTTCATTTGAGAGTTTAAAAGCAAACATTGACCGACCATTTACAAACCAGAAATACACCACCACTTGTCACTAAGTTTAACAATATCATTCTAAGTTTTCTATAAAAGCATTTCAAAGTTTTATGATGACTAGATTGAAAATGGTAATGAAAGATCATGTTATTTTTTAACTTTTCAGTCTCTGTTGCCTAAGAAACTGTTAGGAAAGACTTTATGAAGGATGTTCATGGAATACTGAAGCACATCATACCTAAAAAACTGATAGCTACCACTGCAGCTCCATTAGAATAGAATATGACCTTATGGCAAAATCTATCTCAAAAACCAAAAGTTATGCAAATTGCTTGATATGATACTGCAAGCTAAAACAACCAACATTGTGACATTCATGCCCTTCAACAGAACACCAGCTTGATCAACACCAAGAAGAAGCTGGAGACGGACATTTCTCAGATTCAGAGCGAAATGGAGGATACCATCCAGGAAGCCCGCAATGCTGAAGAGAAGGCCAAGAAGGCCATCACAGATGTGAGTCGGGGCTCCTTTCATTGCTGGTGGTCAGTGTATTCTCCCCAAAATGTC